GGTTTGATAAGGGAGAATCCATTAACATTAAATCCAGACAAACAGAAGTGCTGCGGAGGAAGAGAAAAGTGGGATAAAGGGGAAGCTTCTCCGGAGGAGCAAGATCCCCAGTTGGCACAGTATCTTTGGGTGGCAGCAGTGGTGAGGACGGGGCACTACCTATGGCACTGCCCACTTGACTGTTCCCGAGCAATAGTTTTGCAGGCCTTAGTTACAACCTCTCTCAACTACATCAGTGGTCTTTAGTTGAAAAGGGTCAGAAAAAATATGGCAATTTGGCTATTCTCTGCCTGTTCAGGTAGTCCTCAACTTACAACAGTATTTTAGTGACCATTCAAAGTTGAAACCGCACTGAAAAAGGTGACTTATGACCGTTTTTTCACACTTATGACTGTGGCAGCATCTCCATGGTCCGTGATCAAAATTCAGATGCTGGGCAAATCATAGTCCTGGGGTTACATGATCCTCTTTTTCGACCTGCTGACAAGCAAAATCAATGAAGAAGCCAGATTTACTTAACAATTGTGTTATTAACCTAACAACTGCAATTGTGGCCAGAAAGGTTGTAAAAAGACTCACTGAGTGACAGAATTTTGGGGCACCATTGTGGTCATAAGTCGAGGACTAACTTGTATTGAATGATTTAAAAAGGTCTGTTGAACACAACTTGGTTTTGGTATTGACCTTAAAGGCCCTAAATGGCTCGGAATGAGACTGCCCCTCCCGCTGTAATCCCACACAATAACCCTGCTTGGCAGGAAACACCCTTATGAAGGTGCCACTGCAGCCTGGAGCTCAACTCCCAGGTAAATGGAAAACAGCCTTTTCCTGCATGGCTTCCAGATTTCAAACCACACATCTGTCTCTTCCTCTCACGGTGTTTAGAAGGTAGTTAAAAACTCAACATCCCTTCACAGGCCTTGACCGTTCATTACTTTAACAAGTGGGTTTATTGGGGAGTTTCAATTTGAATTGTATTCATTTTGTGATTTCTACATTCTTGTCTTTTTTTTCAAAATTATAAACTGCCTTGTGGGTCCTTTTTAAAAAAACAAAAAACAAGCAAGTTATAAATCCAATCTTCAAGACGAATAGAGTTGTTGCATTCTCAAGTTTTGTTCCAGCAAGATCTGGATAGTTTCTCTTTAAGTTTCACTAGCAAATTCACTCAAATACTTTGGCCACCTAATGAGAAGGAAGGACTCACTGGAGAAGAGCCTGATGCTGGGAAAGATTGAGGGCAAAAGAAAAGAGAATGAGGTGGCTGGATGGAGTCACCGAAACAGTAGGTGTGAGTTTAAATGGCCTCGGGGGAGTGGGGGGATAGGATGGCAGAAGACAGGAAGGCCTGGAGGAATGTTATCCATAGGGTTGCAATGGGTCGGACACAACTTCACAACTAACAACTAAGCAATGGTGGAGTCAGAGCTTCTGTTGGAACTGATAGCATTGACTTTTGATACAAACTGAAGGATGTGTGTTAGTTGGAAAAGGGGCTACCGACACCTTCTGATTATTATTATTTTTTGCCAGCGTGGACTAACATGGCTCTCCCTCCTTCTCTGTGTGCCTGGAAGAGAAAGCTTGATCACGACAGCATGGTCACGATTTGTTCCAGACTTGCTGGTAACCAACCACACCGGATTAAAAATCTGCTCAGTACCTTTGGTAAATCCATGAAACTCGGTCGAGCAGTGGAAATCAGTCCGAGGGTCTTTAAAGAACAATTCACAAGCTGGGATAAGATATCACAAGCAGCCTCAGCCGATTCCTTGCTGCTATCCACCTGAGTGGGGGGAAAAACCCAACAAGAGTCAGTGGGTAAACAGTCCCTTCAAACACTATCTACAGGTAATCCTCGATTTACGACCACAATTGAGGCCAACATTTTGGTTGCTAAATGAAACATTTGTTAAGTGAATTTTGCCCCACTTTATGTCCATTCTTGCCACAGCTGTTAACTCAAATCACCGCAGCTGTTAGCTTAGTGACACAGTTGTTAAGTGAATATGGCTCCCCTACTGACTTTGCTTGTCGGAAGGTCGCAAAAGGGGGTCACTTGACCCCGGGACACTGCAACCATCATGAAAACAAGTCAGTTTCCAAACAACTAAATTGATTACGTGATCATGGGGATCCTGCAACAGTCATAAGTGTGAAAAATGGTCACAGGTCCCTTTTTTCAGTCTCTGTTGTAACTTTAAATGGCCATTAAATGAACTGTTGTAAGTCGAGGATTACTTGTACTTTGTTGTTGATTGAAAAGTATTTCAACTCCGAAAATATACTAAAAAGAATAATGCTGATGTTGTTCCTGCTATGAGCCACTGGATGAGAAAAACCCTAATTTAGGTAATACTGAATGTGAAACATTCGGACAAAGGGAAGTTGCATTACTTATCACCAGGAACGGAATTTGCAACAAAATGCCACAGATTGTCTTCCAGTTTATAACAAGCAAGCGAACAAAAAAGCACCATCCTTGCAGCCATCCTTCCAGGCAGTAACTCACTCCAAGCAGGTGTTCTCCATTATGCTGTATTTTGCTTTGTTTTCCAACCATCTCTGTTCCTGAGTATGCCAAGTCCTCTCTGAATAGTTGTGGTGTATGTGTGTACCCATGTGCATGGTGAATAATTCACAAGAATGCATTAATAATAGAACTCTCATATTGAGCTCTCAAGAACTAAACGTAGAGCTGGCTATCAATGCTTTTAGGTCAAAATGTGACTTGTTGTACAGGACAACAACCAGCTCTGTGGGAAACAAAACAGGAACTTGGTTCATACGCCGTCATAAATCATTAATCAAGATTGTGCTGCTCATTTTTCCTTTGCTTTGTCTTCTTTGGTTATTCAGAGTTACGTTGGCAAGCTATGATTTGTGTGTTTGGATGTGTGTGTGTGTTCTCCAAGCTCAAACAATGAACAACTTTAATTTCCTGTTGGCAATCCTGATTTGAACTTCAATGTGAAAGACAGTTGTGTTCTCCCAAAAAGGGCAACTTGTCGAAGAACCAAAAAAATAGATAAACCGATAAACCGCATTCATTTGACACAAATGGGGAAATGTCTCTATTGTTAGGGAAGTAGAATTCACACATCCCAGCACTTTATTTTTTTAAATAAAGGGCAATATTCATAGCTCAGGGTTAAAATGAGGGGTCCTTGGTGCTCCCTGAGCTTGCTTGTTTTCTTGCAGACGTTTCGTTACCCAAACTAGGCAACATCATCAGTGCTAGTCACTGTGCTGGTCTAGCAGTGATGATGTTACCTAGTTTGGGTAATGAAAACAAGCAAGCTCAGAGAGCACTAAGGACGCCTCACTTTATCTTATTTTCTCCCTGACTGTCTCCAAAGGTGCTTCTTCAGGAGGCAACTGGACTTCCTTGTTTTTTCTTTGAAGACATTTTGCTTCTCATCCAAGAAGCTTCTTCAGCTCTGACAGGATAGTGGGGATAGAAGGATGATCTGGATGACTTGAGAATCTCTACAGACTTCTCCCTAAGTCTTTTCTATGCCTTCATGCAGAGTAGAATTGAACTTCTCTACTGCTTTTTTTTTTGGATCTGCAAGATCCTTTGAGGCTTCAGGGTTTTTCCTCATATAAAAACTTAAGACATTTTAAAGGTTTAGGTGTGCTTTGCATGTGAGCAATGTCTAAGTCTGATCCATCATTATCCATCAGACTGGGGCACCAACAGTTTTCACTCAGCAGGCAATTGACTAGGAAGAAAATCTGTTCCTTCCACTGAATGTATCAGAACATTCCAGGAGTTAATTCAAAATGCAACCAGATCTTGATTTCTTATTAGATATGGAAATTCCAGTTATCCAGAATGCAACAACCTTCCTACCAATCCTTTCAAATCTGTTCCCACACTTTCAATCCCATATTTGGATCCACCTAGTTTCCAAACTGGAGATTTACATATCACTAGAGTATCAAGATTGCCATTCAGCATTCCTTTATCCGGAAAGTACCGTATTTATCGGCGTATAACACGCAGTTTTAAAACTAAAATTGCAAGCTTAAACCCTG